CTCCCCAATAATCCCAATTCAAGCATCCCACTTTACCACTACCTCTCCTATTTTTCCAGCTTACTCCCTCTAGTATTTCAATCCAACAATTCTTTGAACCAAAGAATCCAACAGTCCCTCTGAATCAAAATCTTTGGAAACATGCTTTTATTCTATTGTCACCCCCCCACACACACACACTGATCCATCATGAGATTCTATTGGCTTTAGCTTCAAAATATACCTAGAAGCTGACACTTTGCACCACCTCCTCTACTATCTCTTGCCTACATTATTGCTGTAGCATAACGGATTTCCATGCCTCCACTCCTGTATCCCTTTGGTCAACTGTCCAAGCAGCCAGAGTGATCTTGTTTAATTCAGCCAGACTATATGAGATCCTCAAAGCAGTAGATTTAGAGAGAAAAGAGAAGCAATTAAAGACTGAGCCCTGGGGCACTACAACACTTAGAAGTCAAAGAGGTAAGAGAAAATCAGCAAAAGACACTGAAACAGAACAGCCAGAGAGATGGGAAGAAAACCAGGAGCACATGGCATTCTAGATGCCAAGTAAAGGCAGTTTAAGGAAAGAGATTCTATTGATAAGTCAAGTAAGATGATGACTGAATATTGACTATTGGTTTTAGCTGCCTATTTGTTGTTGATGACTTTGATAAGCACGTTTTCAGAGATATAAGGTTGAAAGTGTAGCTGGCGTAGGTTCAAGGGACAGTGGGAGAGCAGGAAGTGTATACAATAAGCCTGAAGCATCTTGTCATACTAGGAAGCTCAAACTCTACCAAAATTACTACAGTTATGTCAAAAGGACTGAGGAGCTACCCTGAATAGGCTCTCGCTGGCCAAAGATAGGACAATTTGAGCCCCAACAGGAAAAAAACTATAGCGGATTGAAGCACATCAAATATTTTTAAATCTATGTGAGCTCATAATGATACCAAAAAAAATTTATTTGGTCACCTTTGGAGAATACTAGGCAACTAACTCATTTTTTTTGAAAGCTGGTAGTTAAAAGGAAAGAATAAAAGATTCAACCTATGCTTCCTATACAATCTACTATTCAGTGTAACTGAACAGTTGATGAGGGAACCTTCTTTTTATACAAGTATTCCAATTAATAAACAATGATTGAATGACAGAATTTTGCAGCCCCTAATGAATCAATGGATCTAGGTCACAAAAAGAGAGACAATGGGACAATTATGCACTTAGGCCTATCTTAATTGAAAACCCATGCACTTCCACTACACCTTCCTGCTTCCATTCAAATTCTGGGGATGATGGGTGGGAAGGGAGGGATAAGGGGGAAAAAGAGGTATTATGATTAGCATTCCTAATGTAGGGGGCAGGGGGACACGGGGAAAGCAGTATAGCACAGAGAAGACAAGTAGTGATTCTATAGCATCTTATTACGCTGATGGACAGTGACTGTAATGGGGTGTGTGGTGGGGACTTGATGATGGGGGGAGTCTAGTAACCATAATGTTGTTCATGTAATTGTACATTAATGATACCAGAATTAAAAAAATTTGTATGTAATTCTTTTGTAAATTTATATAGCTTTGTAGTAAGTTTAAATGAAGACATGTGAGTCCTCCAACTTTGTTCTTCTTTTTCAAGATTGTTTTGGCTATTTGGGGTTTTGAGTTCCTTGCATTTCCAGATGGATGTTAGTTTCAGCTTATTCATTTCAGAAGAGAAAAAAAGGCAACTGGGATTTGATCATGATTGTGTTGAGTCTACAGATCAATCAGGGGAATATTGCTCTTTGAACACTATGAAGTCATCTTTTCCTTCCAGTTTTTTTGAGATATAATTATCATATAACATTATATGTCTAAGGTGTACAATATAGTGATTTGATATATGTATATATTGTGAAATGATTACAATAAGTTTAGTTAACATCCATCACCTCACAAAGTTAAATTTTTTTCTGTGATGACATTTAAGATCTACTCTTTTAGCAACTTTCAAGTATACAAAACATTGTTAGTTTCATCATCATGTTGTACATTATGTATATTATAGCCCCAGAGCTCATTTATCTTACAACTGGCTATTAAGTCTTCTGATTCATGAATACCAGATGTCTTTCTATTTATTTAGGTTTTAATTTCTTTCAGTCATGTTTTATAATTTTCAGTGATCAAGTCCTTGAATTTCTCTTGTTAAATTTTTTCCTATGGATTTTATTTCTTGATGCTATTGTAAATGGGACTGTTAATTGCATGTTTGAACATGTTATTAAAGACTTAAGTCTACCTTTCCAGCTTCTCTCCTCTGTCTCCCATATGACTTAGCTTTGGCACACAAACTGGCTTCTCCCTTGAAGGAACAGACTGGGAAACTTCCCACTGCTGTTACCTTAAATCTTGCTCTGCTTTTAGCTTCCAAGTTCTTCCTTCACCACCTTGTCTCCTTGATGAAGCTTCTCCTGATACCACAATCAGACACAATCCCTCTCCCCATGTGCTTTTGTAGCTCCTGACCAGGCCTCCAGCTCCAGGAGAGCACTCATGGCCGCTGCTGCCTGTCTTGTACGTGATCTTTTGTCTCTTCTAGTACTTCCTAAAGGCAGGGAACTTGTTTGATTTAATGCAACCCTGACAGGGATCACATGGCACCTGGCACATGTCAAGTGATCAATCCACATTGCTTAATGGTTATAGAGTTTCAGTTTTGCAGTATGAAAGGAGTTTTGGAGATGGAGGGTGGTGACAGTTGCACAACAATATTAATATACTTAATGCCACTGAACTGTACACTAAAAATGGTTAAGACGGTAAATTTTATGTTTTGTGTTTTTTTACCACTCTGAATATTCCTTTCAGGTTGTTGCTTTGATTCTCTTCCAAGAACCTGTTTTGCCTACAGTCTCTCACGTGGAGGCTATTTTTGCTTCTGTCTCCCTAGTCCTAAAACCTTGGCTTCTAAATTCTCGACTTCCTCCCTTCTAATCTCCTCCACCTGCCTCAGCCATTCACACCCTTGGTCAAGCACCAAGACCTTCTTACTACCAAGAACTGCATCCTCCCCAATAATCCCAATTCAAGCATCCCACTTTACCACTACCTCTCCTATTTTTCCAGCTTACTCCCTCTAGTATTTCAATCCAACAATTCTTTGAACCAAAGAATCCAACAGTCCCTCTGAATCAAAATCTTTGGAAACATGCTTTTATTCTATTGTCACCCCCACACACACACACACTGATCCATCATGAGATTCTATTGGCTTTAGCTTCAAAATATACCTAGAAGCTGACACTTTGCACCACCTCCTCTACTATCTCTTGCCTACATTATTGCTGTAGCATAACGGATTTCCATGCCTCCACTCCTGTATCCCTTTGGTCAACTGTCCAAGCAGCCAGAGTGATCTTGTTTAATTCAGCCAGACTATATGAGATCCTCAAAGCAGTAGATTTAGAGAGAAAAGAGAAGCAATTAAAGACTGAGCCCTGGGGCACTACAACACTTAGAAGTCAAAGAGGTAAGAGAAAATCAGCAAAAGACACTGAAACAGAACAGCCAGAGAGATGGGAAGAAAACCAGGAGCACATGGCATTCTAGATGCCAAGTAAAGGCAGTTTAAGGAAAGGGATTCTATTGATAAGTCAAGTAAGATAATGACTGAATATTGACTATTGGTTTTAGCTGCCTATTTGTTGTTGATGACTTTGATAAGCACGTTTTCAGAGATATAAGGTTGAAAGTGTAGCTGGCGTAGGTTCAAGGGACAGTGGGAGAGCAGGAAGTGTATACAATAAGCCTGAAGCATCTTGTCATACTAGGAAGCTCAAACTCTACCAAAATTACTACAGTTATGTCAAAAGGACTGAGGAGCTACCCTGAATAGGCTCTCACTGGCCAAAGATAGGACAATTTGAGCCCCAACAGGAAAAAAACTATAGCGGATTGAAGCACATCAAATATTTTTAAATCTATGTGAGCTCATAATGATACCAAAAAAAATTTATTTGGTCACCTTTGGAGAATACTAGGCAACTAACTCATTTTTTTTGAAAGCTGGTAGTTAAAAGGAAAGAATAAAAGATTCAACCTATGCTTCCTATACAATCTACTATTCAGTGTAACTGAACAGTTGATGAGGGAACCTTCTTTTTATACAAGTATTCCAATTAATAAACAATGATTGAATGACAGAATTTTGCAGCCCCTAATGAATCAATGGATCTAGGTCACAAAAAGAGAGACAATGGGACAATTATGCACTTAGGCCTATCTTAATTGAAAACCCATGCACTTCCACTACACCTTCCTGCTTCCATTCAAATTAAACCAGGTCGACTTACATCACTTTGTCCCAAGAGTTATCAAAAAGAGGCAAAATCAATAGTCAGTGAAGGAAGAGTATCTCAGGTTGAGGCTGAAGATTCCATATCTGAGGAGTAGAAGCAATCTTCAATGAAAAAGGTGAGACGTTCAGTGAAGATTCTCTTAATCTCCAACAGTTTAAAAAGAAGATAGAGAAAGAGAACTTGTATACACAGAACTACCATCAAAGTGATCTGAGATCAGCCTGATCTAGGTCCCAGCAACCCACTTTGTTTGACATACTGTTACCAGAAGGAAATACCTCACACCTCTCTCCTCCTGCACAGACCAGAGGTGGTACTAACAGCCTCGGGAGTTGGTCAGGTCAGAGTTGGAGTCCTGGCTGCCCCATCAGTTAACTGTTTGACCTAGAGAGAGTTACTTTCACCTGTCTTAATTTTCTTACCTGTAAAATGGAATGGTTCCTATAAAACCTACCATTCAGATTGCGAATGGACTTCAGAACTGTTGAATTAACTAAATTAATGATGTATGTGTCAGCACCATCCCCAACCTCCCTCTCTCTCTCTCTCTCTCACTCTCCTCCCTCCATCCCTCTCTGTCACCTCCCTTCTCTATACATTTATCCTTAGTCTCTCAAGGAACCATGATGTAAAGAGGTGAAGGAGGAAGAGGAACAGCCCCAGGCCTTGTGGTCCATACCTTATCTAGTGCACCATCCTTGTCCTGGCAGATTGCAAGCAGATAGATGGAGGCTCTGAAGACCGTCAGAGGGGGACGCTCGCCCTGGTCCTGCAGAGACAGGAGGAAGCTTTGCACAGCCACAAATAACTCTGTCTCTGAGACAAACCTGTCGGCCAAGCAGAGTCTGAGTGAGAAAAGTAGAGATGGCTGTCCTGACTTGCCACACCCTCCTTCAGTCATTGTTTTTCTGCCCCAGCACGTCCACAGCCTGATGACACCTTGCACAAAGAGTGTGCTAATATATACTTACAAAGCATTGTCACACAGGCACAGCACATGGTTCTATGCTTTGTGCAAAGCTCTGTTAGGGGCCAGAGACTCCTCACTCACACCTAGGAGGTGAAGCTTCTGCCAGCTGGACCAGCACAGTCAAAGAGAAGGATGCTAATTCTGGGGCTCAAGAGTCTCTGCTGTGGTATCCAGCCCACCCCTCTTTATCATTAAACATTTGTGTGTTTGGTGGGCTATTTCTGAAGAAGGGAGACATCTATGGCTGTACATGCAAGGGAGATGGGGGTGAGGAGACTGACTTTTCAGTCTTTTATATAAAGAGTAAAGTATAAAAGGTATGTACCCTTTTAAACCTTTTAAATTTTCTACCTGCGTATGTCTCACTTATTAGATTAAGTACCTAACAAAATTAAACACTTTTAAATGGTGATACTAAATGTAAACATTATCCTGGATTGTGTTCTGGAACAGGAAACAGTAAAGGAAAAACTGGTGAAATTTGAATAAAGTTTAGTTAACAGTAAGGTACCATTACATATCTGGTCAAATGATTTTCAACCAGGATGCCAAGACCACATAATGGGGAAGGGACAGCCTTTTCAACAGATGGTGCTGGGAAAACTGGATATCCACATGTAAAAGAATGAATGACATTGTATCCTTGCCTTACATGACATAAAAAATTAACCCAAAAAGGATGGAGACCTAAATGTAAGACCATAAGCTTAATGGGTAGGAGGCTTTACTTTAGAGTGATGGAAATGTTTTGGAACCAAATAGAGATGGTGGTTGCACAACACCGTGAATAGGCTAAATGCACTGAACTGTTTACTTTAAAATGGGTAGTTTCATATTATATGAATTTTACCTCAATAATTATTTTTTAAAGCTTAAGGTAGAACAGTCCTTTGATTTTATAATTTTAATAGATTGTATAGTGATTCTTAAAACCAAAGTAAACTACTGGAATTTTTTTCTGTGCACAAACAACATCCTCAAGAATACCAAGGAATTCTCATTAGCACTCTAAGACTGTCTCTCAGCACTGTGACTACCCACCTGTCTTGACCTGCCTCCAAGCTGTGAGCACTTCAGGAACACAACCCATTTCTACTTCATTTATCTTTGTGTCCCCAGTGTCCAATACCAGGCTTGGAGAGGATGCCTCTGCAAATATTTCCTGAACAGAACTGAGCTACAGATGTGGGACCCACCGTAAGCCACCAGCTCCAAACACTGACCTGTCCTCATGTACGTAGGCCAGGTAGAAGAGAAGCAGGATGCAGTACTGTCTTTGGCGAGCAGTTCCCTCCACATGCTGGCGATCAGACAGAAAGACAAGGCTTTCAGAGCTCCTGCTGCTTATCTGGGGCAGCCCATGCTGCAGGAATGCAGACACTGTAGAGAGTTCTGGGGAGGGTAAGCAGATAAGCAGGCTAAGAAAGCTACAGAGAGAACATAGGAGAACAGGTAATGAGCAAATGAGTACCTGCTAATTGAACAGTACTGCACAGGGTAGCAAAGGCACCTACAGGATATAAAGGAAATCAGTCTCCTCTTCCTTCAGCCTTCAGCCTACCAGAAGGGACAAATGGTGACACATGGAAGGACATGGATACATTCCTTCCTTCATTCATTTGGCCAATGTTCACTGAGTGGCTACTCCAGCCCAGGCTGTGAGACACAGGCCCCACCTCCAAGAATGGGTGACTGGTGGGAAAAGACAGATAATGAGACAGACAATTGCAGGACATGTGATCACTGCCATGTTCAAGCATGGAGGAGGGAGTGACTGACACCACCTGGGGTGGGGAGGGCAAGCTCAAAGGGAGGGAACTGTGGAGCGTGAGCAGAAAACACGCAGAGAAGGGAGGGAAAAGAATCCTAGGGACAGAAAGCAAGGCGTTCAGAGGCCGGGAGGCACATGAGAGCATGTCACCTTTAAGGAGGGTCAAGCAGTCCAGTCTCACTGAACGGTCAGTAAATAGGTGTGGATGTCAGCAACTGTAAAACTCTGTGATATCATTTGTAGCTAGACTGTGAGAGACACTGAATACCAGGAAAGAATTGGATTTTATCCTTAGGGCAGATTTCTGGATTTCTTATGAAACTTCTGTTTCATAAAAGAAAGGATATTTTAATAATAAAAGAGTATGGAAAAAAAGGACTTGAGAGCTTAAAATCTGAATAAAGCCAATTTATGGACAACTCACCATATTATTTTCCATATTTCTCCATGAACCAGAGAAAACTCCATTACTGTCTGACAATTTCCCTGATATTTGGAGACCATGGGTGAAGGCCTGGGAGTTGAGATGTTAAGACTTGGTTTTCAGACAGATCCTTTCAGCAGTACGTGGAGATTTTTTGGATGAGAGACTGAAAGCAGGGGGCCAACTTGCAGGTCAAATGAAAGACTATGTCCTTCAAGCACAGTGGACTTAGGGTCAAATGCAGGGTGAGAATGGAGAATGTCCCACAGCAATTTAATAGTAGAGCTAGGTCAGTTTTCCTAATTCTAAGTTGAGTGCTTTTTCTACCAAAGCACACTGTGATCATTACAGTAAAAATGAACCTAACACCCTTGAGCCTTGCATGTCTACCTGTCCTATCTCCTGATACATAAAAGAAAGAGGCGGTCTGCATGTAAGGTGTGCCATTCTCCCTGGTCCTCAGAGTTTGTCAAGAGCTCAGAGTCAAAGGGGACAAATATGTGGGGCCCCTCCTATTTATGGGAGGGGGACAGCAGTGGGGCTATCAAAAGCACAAGGAGCTGCTGTGAAGCACTGCCAACATGGCCTTAGACTACCACCATGGTGGAAGTCTTTAAACTGTTCTCTCTGTGGGCCGACCACACCTGAACAGGCAGAGAGCCGATATCCATGCGGAGAGGGGACGCATGTATAGTGAGAGACCTAGGAGCCAAGCCATGTTGGAAGGAATGAGAATATCCACCTGGGCTGCTGTTCCCTGCAGCATTGTGTCTGAGAAAAGACAAAAGAGAAAGAGAGATTTGGGAAGTGGAGGGAGATAGCACAGTCTTCGTAAATGTAAAAAGATGAAACACAGCCAGCACCAAGTCTTACCCACAAAGAAGGTTTAATGTTTGTTGAATGAATAAATAAAACAATGATTTGAATTGTTTTATGTTATACCAAGAGAGAGGCCTAGGACAGAAGAACCCCTTAGGGAAGATTGTAATCATTACTGTATCATGGAATTTACCAAGTAAATGCAGCCTCAGGTGGTAAATCATAAATGGGAAGGTACGTCACTGCACAGCAGCACCTGGACCTCCCCTGGCAAACAGCAGCAGCTCAATACTAACAAAAGGAAAACCTTCCAGCTTTCAGCATTGCATCTACTGTTCCCTCTCCCTAGATTCTACATGGGTCTCCTTTACTGCACTCAGACCTCCACTAACATGCCACCTCTTCATGGAGGCTTTCCCTGACCACCCTATCTACCATGTACCTCCTCTCCCTCCATCACCCTCAATCCCTTTGCCCAATTTTATTTTTTTATGACACCTGTGCATTCCTGACACTGTATCTATGTATTTATTGTCTGCCTCTCCCATTCCATGAAATCAAGACTTTGTATTCCAAACTCTATGATCAGTACCTGGAACAGAGTCTGGCACATAGTAGATGCTCAAGAACTACTTCTTTAATGAAGGAACAAAGAAATGGAACAGGCTGCTCAAGATATTTTGAGCAGAGGTCTCCAGAGATAGTAAGCAGGGAGCAAGAGGCCTGGTAGGAGGAAGGGGCAGGGGAGATGGTCAGGAGGAAGAATTGTGCTTGGTAAGCTTTAGAGTCCTCAACCCTTACAATTTAGGGGTCCAGGAACCTTGGGTTCCATTGTTTTCTGATTGTTACCTCACCTCTCTGGGAGTCAGTCTAATTTCCTCATTCCATCATTCCATGATCCCTAAGCTTGTAGCAAAGGGATCTTATTATCATTACTGACTCATTACCCAGTCAATAAAGCAAGGCATCCAGACTCTAAATGACCACCACAGACCTCAAGAGTGGTCAAACTACAGCATCTTACCTTCTTCAGAAGGTGGTCCTGTCTTCTCTGGAGCTGAGAGGAGGTTGAGGCACATGTAGTACAAGAAAGTGGAACACACCTGGTTCAGGGCTGAGTGACTTAAAGGGGGAAGAGGAAGAGAGAGCGAGAGGGCATTGCTACTTTGGCTGGGATAGCATTACCCCTGCCATATACTGGGAACACTGTTTTCTGTCAGAGCCCAGTGAAATTCTAACCAGAGCCCTGTAGAGGAGTTCTGGAGGTGGCTACGAAAATAAATATGGAACTTGGTGTCCTAACTGTAACTTAAGCACTTGACCCAGATAGGCATTCACTAAAATTTTACTGAAAAGATACATCAGGAAGGGCTACCAAGCTCCAGTTTAATAAAATATATGAACAAAAGAAGTGCTCCTAGGTCAGGAAAGGGTTGCGGAGTACTAGGAAAGAAAGGAAGCTGTTGAACCCAAGACGACCAGTCAAGGAGAACTACAAATACCCAAAACGGTGGCTTTGAATCCAGATGGATCCCTGTATTCTCTCATTAACACTGGGTGTTTTATTCAGAGATACAGAAGGTGAACTAGATACTGTATTGTACTCACCATGCAGGCTGTAGGCAGTTAACAAATGGAACCAGCCAAGTAAATGCAGATTCAGGTGGCAAATCATAAACGGGAAGGGATGGAAGGCTGCTCTAGAAGCCTAACAAGACAGACTGAGGTGGCAACCTCTCTACTTGAACAAGTTTTTCCTCTGGAATTGCTGGGCTGGCAGCAACTATATGACTCTTTCTTGATGGACACTGTATCCACTACCCTCTGAGGGCCTTGGTTCCCCCATTTGTAAAATAAGGGGTTAGACAAATGATCCCTAAGAGCCTACCCAGTTTTGCTGTGACAGGAGCCCATCCAAGTATCATGGAGTGAGAGCCTTACCAGAACCAGGTAACATAAAAACTATAGAAGCATGTCCAGCCCATACCACCAACTGATGAACAATTCTGACAGTGTCATTTCCCCCATAGTCCTATGACTAAACCGCACCAGTCAGAAATTTCCACTTGATATCAGCCCCTTTGCCACTAATTTTGCTTGGGAACATACATACCTCAGGCTGCTGCAGAACCTAGCCTTTACTTCCAGGGTCAGTCGTATGAAAGATGAGGAAGCTTAAGAAAAGTGGGAAGAAAGCAGAAAGCAGTTCAAAGCAGATGTGTTACAGACAGTCTCAAGTCTGGGTGGTACCAAAAAGCACTGGTTTTGGAGTCATGAAGACCTGGGCTCAAAATTTGCTCCATCAGTGTCTAGCAATGTGACTTAGAAACACTTGCTTAACTTATTTGAGACTCAGTTTCAGTATCTATATCTCACAAGTTGTTGTGAAGCTAAGTAGGATAAATGTACATAGTATCTAACAAACATGTTTAGCTCAGAGCAGGTGCTGAATAAATGCTCATCTTCTTCCTTTCTGAATTATCTTCCACTACAGTCTGCTATATTTGACAAGGACCTAGGAAGGACACATCTTGTTCTATATCTTTTCCCAATTTTGTAGAAAACAACCCAGTTTCAGATTCAGGAAGAATAAAGGGTAGTCACTACTTTATCCCAAATCTGGATTGCCTGTGGGGAAGGATGGGTTCTCAGACCTGAGGTCAGATACCAGTTTCTGCATTAGCTGGTGGCCCTGGCGCTGGCCCCTACAGTGCCTGCCTCCTCCCAGTCTCCCCCTACCCCATCTTGTCCCACACCAAGGCTCTCTGTCAAAACTGACCTCTGTCCTATCCATCCTGGGCCCCTGTAAAAGCAAGATTCTAGACAAAGAGAACATCAAGAGCTCCCACTGCACCAGCTCCAATATCAAGGATACTCTGCATTCTGTTCTGGAGCTAAAGCATATGGCAGGGAATTCATCCCTAAGAGTTTCACAGCACCTTTCTGGGATACCAGTCTAACTCATGATTCGCAGGGGAAGGGGGCGCCCAGCTTGCCTGCTAAAGGGTGCCTCCTGGCCTAGTCTCTCAGGAACCCAGCGTTTCTCCACCTTCTGCTCCAGGTCTCTGCTCTCTTGGCTGGCACTGCCTGCTCTCTTCCATCTTGCCTCTTGCAGGTTGGGCCCCCAGTCCTGCACGTGGCCTTTCACTACATCCCTTGCTCTCCACCACTACCTCCCACCAGAGAGCTGCATTTCTGCACCCATCCACTACTGCAAGACTGGGTCCTCTTGGCTCCTCAAGTTTTACAGGTAGGAAGAGTGGATGGAAGGAAGGAAAGAAGTGTCAGTTGTCACAGTGACTAAGGGGTACAGACATTCAGAAAATCTACATATGTTATCTCATTCAATTCTCATTATTGTCATCATGTTCTAGCTGAGGACATTGGAGACAAGAAAATTAATCTGCCCGATGTCCGTCAAGAAGGAGGGGGTGGGGTGAGAATGTCAACCCACATGTGCTGATGACAAGATCCTGATTTTGTCCCTCTCCCGCACAGCCCCCTACCCTCTCCTAGAAACTCCCACTCACATTTTTTACCTGGAATAGTTTCCTGCCTTTTCTGTCCTCTGTCCTTTTCCTGGAGAGAACAAAGATTCTGCTAAACTGTGATAAGGGACCTCCCCAGAATGACCTAGACCATCCATCAGAAACTCCCTCAAAATCCCTAATCAAATTTCCAGACCTGCAAAGTCATGCCCCTCATCTCCCCAGCTGTGGATAGTGGCCTCTTCTCCTTTCCAAGGACCTTGGCTCTGCTGATTACCCAGAAGTCTCTGCTACTTCTTCCAATCAGCTGCTAATCAAGATAAGTGTTTCTGAAGATAGGGAATAGAAAAACCCTCCCTAACTCCATGTCCCCCTCCAATTACACCCCCATTTCTCACCTCCCCCTCACACCAAACTTATCAAAAGAGCCATCTATCTTGTCTCTACTGCCTTACTGTGCACTCACTCTTCAACTAACTACTGTCTGGCTTCTGCCTCAACCACTCCACAGAAACTGCTGTGGCTGAGGTCACGAGCAGCCACCACGATGCCAAGTCCAATGGACATTTTTAGGTCCTCATCTTCTTAACCTCCTACTGCTCCCTAATCTACAAGCTCTCTTCACTTGGCTTCCCTAATGTCATAGTTTTCTTGTTGTCTTCCTACCTCTCCAATGATCTCTTACCAGTTACTAAAGTCCTTTGGAGTCTCTCATCATTAAGAATATTAAATGTTTCTCTTGATTTTGTCTGGGTCCCTTTGATCACTTCATCTTACCAAAGATCTCACCTGCTCCCCACTAGAGAGTTGGCCCCACAAGCTCAAGGGTCTTGCTTGCTCACTCTATATCCTCAGCCCAAGGACAGTGCCTTTCATGTAGTAAGTGCTCAATAAGTATTTGTTGAATGAATGAAAAGCAGGATGCTAAATACTTCTATATCTACATATAAAGAGTATATCTCCCCCCTGACCTCAGAGTTATCTACCTAACATCTCCACTGGGACATCTCACATTTACCCTGACCCAAACTGATCACTTTCTCTACTGCCTTCCCAAATCAGATACTCCTCCGGTGAGTTTCCTCTTGATAAAAAACACCACCAACCACCTAAACGGCAGCCAGAAGCCAAGGCACGACCTGACCATTTCCTCTCCCTCATGCCCTACGTCTAACTGCTTTACCTCACCAACCCGAGTTAACGCAAAGGCTGGACTACTTGCCTCCAGCCTGCTTCCCTCTAACTCATGGTCCACACTGCTCAAAGAAGGATCTTTCTAAAACAGAAATTGGAGCCTGTCATTCCCCTTCTAATGTAAGACTCAAAGCCTCTAGGATAAAGTCTAAATTCCTCATGTGGCCAACAAAGCCCTGCATACTTGACTCAGTCCTGGCTACTCCTCCATGGTAGACTTCCTACTGCATGCGATGTGACAGGAATAAAAGAAAAGACAATAAACAATTGTAAGAGGCAAGCATAGCACAGAGATTAAGAAAGGAGGCTCCACAGTCAGATTCCCTGAGTTTGAATCCTGTCACGCCACTTCCAGTGTGACTCTGGGCAAGCTAGTCAACCTCTCTGAGTTTCAGTGTGCTCATCAGTAAAATGAGGATAATCATAGAACATACTAGGGTTTTTCTGAGAAGTAAATGAATACATGTAAAGCACCTAAAATAGTACCTGACATATAGTAAGAATGTAATAATGTTAGTTATTTTTAGTTAATTGTTCTTTCCTTTCTTTTTGCTCCCTTTTCTGTTTTTGGCTAGTCCCCCTTCCCATTCTCTCCATCACTACCATTGCCTAAGGAAGATAAAGGAAACAGACTCCCAGACTTACTCTGCAGACTGAGGTGTTTATAGCATGAAAACTGGAGAAATGAGAAAGGAAGATTTACATTTGAAAGAAAAAATGACTGGTGAGAGAAGAAAATAAGTAAATGCAAGAAGTCCCAGAGGAGGCTTAAGGAGTCAAGAGTCATTTGGGTTGTTTTAGGAAGGCACTTCAGTGTACAGTTAGACAGCAGCTTTCACACTGTGTACCACTCCCCTAGAAGGCATCTGGAAGTATGTGGGATGTTTATCAGTTGTCACAATGACTGGGGGCATTCCTGGCATTGAGGGAGTCAGAGATGCTAAACATCTTGTGCAGTCCGAGGGAATATGGAGTATGAGAGCAATGTGAAAGCAGGTACACTGTGGATCCGGAACTGGAACCTCCTTGTTGCTATCAGGGAAGTATCGATAAATCTGAGAACTGCCTTTAAGGGCCTTTGATTGCTGGATGATATTCCTTTCCATTCAACACCAAGCAAAGCAATGATATTAATTCTGAATGAATATGTAAACCTCCCATCACAGGTTATGTTCTCTTAGAGCACTCTGGGCAGCTGCTTAAGGTGTCTGCCTCCCTTCCAGTTTTCACACTTGCCGGCTACCTACCGAGCTTCTTGGAGAACTTCTCCTTCATGTGGGGAACAATAACAAAGAGACTGAGGAGAATCGAGAGGAAAACTTCCATCAAGGCTGGGTGATTGGCCATCTCCAAGTACCTCTGCAAAGAACCAGGAAAGAGAACACAGCCCAACAGGTCTGAGTCTCTGAAGAAAAAGCATCAGTAAACCTGGCATCAAATCTAGAAACAATAGACCAACCCCTTCCATTTGAAGGGCACAAAGAAAAGCTAGGGAACCTGAAGTCACAAGCCTCCATGCAAGGCTTATATCTTTATTTAATAAACTGTGTTAAGATACTTTACCTCTCTGGGCCTCTACTCTCCATAAAGAGTAAGACCTCCCTCCCAGAAACAAATGAGATGTGTAAAATGTACTAAACTATATTGCAGCGACACTCATGTTTCTATTAATATAGCCATAGTAATAATAATAGAGATTAAAAACTACCTTCACATTAATTTTTCATGTGATCTTTGAATAGTAATAAGGCAGGCTGGTATAGCAGACAGAGCTCTGGATTAAAAGTAGAGAAGCTTGGGTTCTACTTCAAGCTCCACACAAAGTTGCTATGTGTCCTTGGGTCGGTCACCCCCTCTCCTCTGGGTATCTCAGTTCCCTATCTGTAAATAGCCAGGGACTCAAAGACATAGTTCTTATAAATACCTTTCCTTTTGTTTTTAAACCAGGTTATTTTTTTTAATTAAAAAAGTTAATTCATGCTCATTAAAGAAAATATATAAAATACAGAAAAGGAAAAAACAAGAATAATAAAATAATTCTACGATCTAATTGTAGACCCAGCTCTAACACTTCACAGATCAGGAGGAAAGCAGAGCAGATGAAGTAAACAACGTGCATTGTTCAAGTGTAACCATTAGTGTGTGCCAGTCAGGGCTGCAACCCATGGTTCTGGACAGTTACCTGCCTTAAGTCCCTGGCATGCCAGCTCACAGGCTTCTTCAAGGAAGAAAGGTTCTCCCACCAGAACAAGAGGATGCCTCCCTGTTGCCCCTGAGGTGCCCAGTAGGTGTTTTGGAGGTGCCCTTCACTTACTAGCAGGCACCCACAGGATGTCCAAATCTCAAACAGATCAGGGCTCACCCAAGGTCAGCTGAAAAGTCAACGCCTCTGGACCCAGATCTTCCTAGTCTCTCCATCTCAAAGCGCTCTAAACAAAGCTCTTCCAGACTAGCTCTCTCTTCAGAGTGGCCATCTCTCATTTTACAGAACACACATATGTGTCCTTAGCAAAGCCTCGATCACAGACACGCATCGCTGCTCTTTACTGAGCAGAAGGGCACATGGGTTCAGATATCAGCACCACCATGTACTTGCTTTAAAGCCATAGAAACATGACAACGTCATCTTAAAACTGGGGGAAATTATAGCGACCATCTCACAAGGTCAGCAGAATGATCAAATTAGGTAATGAATATAAGGCATCTATCACTCCATAAATATTACCTATTTATTATCTTATTACTCTTTCTACATTTTCTAAGAGGCATCTATTAGTTTTACAATGGAACACTACACTTTGTTTTCAAAACCAAAGGAAAAATGACTGGAAGAACAACACTGCCAAGACCCTCAGAAGGTCCAGTTGAGTAGCCGCCGCCTTGTGTCTCTAGACTTGGCTCATGCTCACATTCTCCTCTCCAAACCTGATGCTGTGCATGGCTCAGGGAAACCTACCATCACCATGGGGATACAAAGGGAGTCGCAGACACTGAGAAGAAATTCTGAGAAGTCCTCCAAGGTGTCTTCCTTCTCAGCACTGGGAGCTGTGAATGGATTCTCCTGGGCAGAAGGCTCACTTTGGAATTCCACAGCCAACCTGAGAAATCAATGTTTGAGTACCCACCACTACCTATGCAATATGAAGGTTAGAAGCCTCCTCCTAGTAGGATGCTTGGGCTCAGAGTCCAGGGAAAGTATCCCCATCAGCAGATCTGGAGAAAATTCAAGAGGCCTCCGTGGGGCAGGGCCTGGTCCTTGGCTGCCTCCTTAGCTTTGTGCCCCCCCCTCCCATAATATGTGACTCTCCCACCCTACCACCTGTACCTCCCTGAACATGCCACTTGGTTTGCTGTTTCACCTCCCTTTGCCTTTACATTTATTGCTTTCTCTGCCTGGAATGCCTTCCTCAGATTTTTGACAACGTAATGAACTCCACATATATACATGTAACTGTCTCTTCCTCAAAAGACCATGAGCTCCTTGTGGACAGGAGCCAACCGACTTATCTGTCTACTCCTGCCAGTTAGCACCATGCCTGACACACAGGACGGACAGCAAATATTTGTTAATGTGAACTGAATTAATCCAACAAGCATTCAGTGAACACCTAAAGTCTAGGTTATCTCGGAAGAGGAACAAAGCTGAATGAGACAACCTCACTGCACAGCAACACAGACTTCGCCAGGAAGGAATCCTTAGAAACCTCCTACTCTTGCCACCAGTCCTTAAACCTCTTCCACACACCACTCCACATACTCCACCCATCCCCAACCCCCCACCCCAGCCAAAGTACCCTGACTAGGCAGCAAAACATCCCATTACAATGTTGCTTCTAGAACTTCTTCTTTGTCTGATTCCCCCCAATACTACCTCCTCAGACCCCTCACCTGCATGCATTCCGAAATCCCTCCAGAGTGCTCAGGAGGAAGTCTCCCCTCCAAAGAATGGCCTCCTCTGACTCTCTACTGGAGGCATGGCCCTGAGGTGAAAAGGAGAGAGAGGAACCTATTAGTCAAGTATCTACTCTGTGTCCCAAACTATGCTTGGAAGACTAGAGACCTAGAATCTGTCATTCCCATACACTTAATGCTTCCCAAGTGATCTTATATCCTCTCAAATGCAGCCATCTAAGAGCTCCTTTAAAAAAGTAGAAGAGGGAACCTTGGCCACCTGTCTTCCTGTAAGCCACAGGACTGGCTCTTGTTCTGTCATATGCAGAACAAGCTGTGGACATTTGCCTAACTAGCTGTAATGCCCATATTATTTGTTTCAAAACACATGAAAATCCCCACCCCATCAGGTGTGAAGAGCTTAGTTTCAGAAGTTTATCTTGAAAGACATAATCAGCATTCATAATAATAGTGTCTTTTCTGATATTTTAAGTCCATGTTCCATTAAAAGCCAGCAATTATAACACATTGAACACTGATCAGATTCTTTCCAAGATTCTAGAGAACCCAGCCTTAAATAATTTTGTGATCATGTTTACCATGACTGCTTGGATGGTATAAAAGACAAAACGTGTAGTAGGCTTGAGGACAAACACCCTGGGGTATACTATCCAAACTCAGATACCCGCTAATTTTGGACCTTACAGGAAAATTACTTAATCCCTTTGGCTTCAATTTCCTTATCTGTAAAAATAAGGATAGCAATTATTAAGCCTCACAGCTCTACAGTTAGAGGGAAAAAAAATAGTATCTCACTGCAGATACGTGTGCCTAAGAAAAAGCTATAAAGTAGCACACAAAGATAAGGGAATTATCTTCCAAAAACACTCTACAGCATGATCTCCAGAAGAAGCAGGTTGCAGGGCACTGACCTGGGGTCTCCTGCTCAGTGGGGTCTGGGAAAAATCTGCACACCGGCTCAGCATGGCTTCAAGCAAGGCCCGCAGTTGCTTGTACTGCACAGGTGGGGCACTCTGATGGTCCTTCCTGCATCCAGAGAGACAAAAGCAGGCTTAGGGCGAGGTAAGGTGCCCCAAGATACCCTCAGGTTCTCAGGTAATGGGGGGCAGTGTGATGGATCACAATACAGGTCCAGGACCTGATCTGACTAAAAAAACTCTTGCTCTGACAGTTATCTAGCTGGAGGACTTTGTGCACATTCCTCATCCTCCTTAATCCTCAGTTTCCTCCTCTGTTAAGTAAGTTATTAGTACTTTCCTCACCTAATTATTCTAAGGATCAAACTAGATAATGTAGGCCAAGAACTTAGCACAATGCTTAATAGATAGTAGGTCCTTATAAATAACAGCTATGACTATTATTATAGTATTAAGGATACAGGGGGTTTTCTCACTGAGAAGGGCCTTCTGGTGAAAGAGGTACTATCTGGAACTTAAGGTGCATCAAGAGATGTGTGTGGCCACTGTTCTAAGTTAAGTGGTAATAAGCTCTCTTGGGGAAGAGAGGTCAAATTTGCTCTCTGTTACCTTGATAAGGAAATCAGGATCCACAGATAAAAGCTATCAGGACTCAGGTTTTATTTAAGTATACGGAAAAATTTTCTGCTCACCCAAGGTCAGCTGAAAAGTCAACGCCTCTGGACCCAGATCTTCCTAGTCTCTCCATCTCAAAGCGCTCTAAACAAAGCTCTTCCAGACTAGCTCTCTCTTCAGAGTGGCCATCTCTCATTTTACAGAACACACATATGTGTCCTTAGCAAAGCCTCGATCACAGACACGCATCGCTGCTCTTTACTGAGCAGAAGGGCACATGGGTTCAGATATCAGCACCACCATGTACTTGCTTTAAAGCCATAGAAACATGACAACGTCATCTTAAAACTGGGGGAAATTATAGCGACCATCTCACAAGGTCAGCAGAATGATCAAATTAGGTAATGAATATAAGGCATCTATCACTCCATAAATATTACCTATTTATTATCTTATTACTCTTTCTACATTTTCTAAGAGGCATCTATTAGTTTTACAATGGAACACTACACTTTGTTTTCAAAACCAAAGGAAAAATGACTGGAAGAACAACACTGCCAAGACCCTCAGAAGGTCCAGTTGAGTAGCCGCCGCCTTGTGTCTCTAGACTTGGCTCATGCTCACATTCTCCTCTCCAAACCTGATGCTGTGCATGGCTCAGGGAAACCTACCATCACCATGGGGATACAAAGGGAGTCGCAGACACTGAGAAGAAATTCTGAGAAGTCCTCCAAGGTGTCTTCCTTCTCAGCACTGGGAGCTGTGAATGGATTCTCCTGGGCAGAAGGCTCACTTTGGAATTCCACAGCCAACCTGAGAAATCAATGTTTGAGTACCCACCACTACCTATGCAATATGAAGGTTAGAAGCCTCCTCCTAGTAGGATGCTTGGGCTCAGAGTCCAGGGAAAGTATCCCCATCAGCAGATCTGGAGAAAATTCAAGAGGCCTCCGTGGGGCAGGGCCTGGTCCTTGGCTGCCTCCTTAGCTTTGTGCCCCCCCCTCCCATAATATGTGACTCTCCCACCCTACCACCTGTACCTCCCTGAACATGCCACTTGGTTTGCTGTTTCACCTCCCTTTGCCTTTACATTTATTGCTTTCTCTGCCTGGAATGCCTTCCTCAGATTTTTGACAACGTAATGAACTCCACATATATACATGTAACTGTCTCTTCCTCAAAAGACCATGAGCTCCTTGTGGACAGGAGCCAACCGACTTATCTGTCTACTCCTGCCAGTTAGCACCATGCCTGACACACAGGACGGACAGCAAATATTTGTTAATGTGAACTGAATTAATCCAACAAGCATTCAGTGAACACCTAAAGTCTAGGTTATCTCGGAAGAGGAACAAAGCTGAATGAGACAACCTCACTGCACAGCAACACAGACTTCGCCAGGAAGGAATCCTTAGAAACCTCCTACTCTTGCCACCAGTCCTTAAACCTCTTCCACACACCACTCCACATACTCCACCCATCCCCAACCCCCCACCCCAGCCAAAGTACCCTGACTAGGCAGCAAAACATCCCATTACAATGTTGCTTCTAGAACTTCTTCTTTGTCTGATTCCCCCCAATACTACCTCCTCAGACCCCTCACCTGCATGCATTCCGAAATCCCTCCAGAGTGCTCAGGAGGAAGTCTCCCCTCCAAAGAATGGCCTCCTCTGACTCTCTACTGGAGGCATGGCCCTGAGGTGAAAAGGAGAGAGAGGAACCTATTAGTCAAGTATCTACTCTGTGTCCCAAACTATGCTTGGAAGACTAGAGACCTAGAATCTGTCATTCCCATACACTTAATGCTTCCCAAGTGATCTTATATCCTCTCAAATGCAGCCATCTAAGAGCTCCTTTAAAAAAGTAGAAGAGGGAACCTTGGCCACCTGTCTTCCTGTAAGCCACAGGACTGGCTCTTGTTCTGTCATATGCAGAACAAGCTGTGGACATTTGCCTAACTAGCTGTAATGCCCATATTATTTGTTTCAAAACACATGAAAATCCCCACCCCATCAGGTGTGAAGAGCTTAGTTTCAGAAGTTTATCTTGAAAGACATAATCAGCATTCATAATAATAGTGTCTTTTCTGATATTTTAAGTCCATGTTCCATTAAAAGCCAGCAATTATAACACATTGAACACTGATCAGATTCTTTCCAAGATTCTAGAGAACCCAGCCTTAAATAATTTTGTGATCATGTTTACCATGACTGCTTGGATGGTATAAAAGACAAAACGTGTAGTAGGCTTGAGGACAAACACCCTGGGGTATACTATCCAAACTCAGATACCCGCTAATTTTGGACCTTACAGGAAAATTACTTAATCCCTTTGGCTTCAATTTCCTTATCTGTAAAAATAAGGATAGCAATTATTAAGCCTCACAGCTCTACAGTTAGAGGGAAAAAAAATAGTATCTCACTGCAGATACGTGTGCCTAAGAAAAAGCTATAAAGTAGCACACAAAGATAAGGGAATTATCTTCCAAAAACACTCTACAGCATGATCTCCAGAAGAAGCAGGTTGCAGGGCACTGACCTGGGGTCTCCTGCTCAGTGGGGTCTGGGAAAAATCTGCACACCGGCTCAGCATGGCTTCAAGCAAGGCCCGCAGTTGCTTGTACTGCACAGGTGGGGCACTCTGATGGTCCTTCCTGCATCCAGAGAGACAAAAGCAGGCTTAGGGCGAGGTAAGGTGCCCCAAGATACCCTCAGGTTCTCAGGTAATGGGGGGCAGTGTGATGGATCACAATACAGGTCCAGGACCTGATCTGACTAAAAAAACTCTTGCTCTGACAGTTATCTAGCTGGAGGACTTTGTGCACATTCCTCATCCTCCTTAATCCTCAGTTTCCTCCTCTGTTAAGTAAGTTATTAGTACTTTCCTCACCTAATTATTCTAAGGATCAAACTAGATAATGTAGGCCAAGAACTTAGCACAATGCTTAATAGATAGTAGGTCCTTATAAATAACAGCTATGACTATTATTATAGTATTAAGGATACAGGGGGTTTTCTCACTGAGAAGGGCCTTCTGGTGAAAGAGGTACTATCTGGAACTTAAGGTGCATCAAGAGATGTGTGTGGCCACTGTTCTAAGTTAAGTGGTAATAAGCTCTCTTGGGGAAGAGAGGTCAAATTTGCTCTCTGTTACCTTGATAAGGAAATCAGGATCCACAGATAAAAGCTATCAGGACTCAGGTTTTATTTAAGTATACGGAAAAATTTTCTAAGTGTCAAACTCTATAGAGGTAGAGGGGACTATCTAGGAAGGAGTGAGCTCCCCACTTCTGGAGATTATAAACAGAGACAAACTATTTTTGGAGATTTGGTCATTATGAATACGGGATAAATGTGGAAAGTAACACTTAGGGTCCATTTCAACCCTCATATTCTATAGACTCAGAGGAGGCAAGAGTCTCTGACTAGTCTAATTGTGAGCTCCAAGAGGCCAGGGACCAGCTCCATCCTTTCACTTTACCGAAAACAGAGCTAGATGCACTATAAATTGATGCTAAATAGAAAAGACATCAAATGAATGATGGCTACTTGATAGGGTGTAAGGTAGTTGTATTGGTTTCCTAGGGATGCTGTAATAAACTACCACAAAATGCATGGCTTAAAACAGTAGCAATTTATTCTCTCATAGCTCTGGGAGCTAGAAGTCTGAAATCAAGGTGTTGGCTCCTTCTAAAGGCTCTAAGGAGGAATCCTGCCTTGCCTCAGTTTCTGGGGGTTGCCAGCAATCTTTGTCATTCCTTAGCTTGTAGCTACATCATTCTATTTTCTGCCTGTCTTTATATGACAATCTTCCCTGTGTATGTGTCCATGTCACTGCATGTCCAAATCTCTCTCTCCTTATAAGGGCACCAGTCACTGGATTTAAGAGCCCACACTGTATGACCTCTTCTTAACTCAGTTATATCTATAAAGGCCCTAATTCCAAATATGGTCACATTCACAGGTTATGGGTGGGCATGAATTTTAGAGGGATACTATTCAACCCAGTGCATACCTAAGGAGGAACCTATGTTAACCCTAATGTCTGGGCCCTTTTTGAACTCGGAGAGTAATAATGTGTTGGGCCTTCGAACAGGCACTCAGTTAATTGTTTTAGTTCAGGCTTGATGTCCCCTTTCCTTTGTCATTTCTGTAAGCTCTAAGTTTCTATCCTACACTGACTGTCAAGCCCTGGTTCAGCCATCTTTAAATTCTTTTCAGCAGTTCTCACTCCTCATTCCTCCTTCCACTTGTCCTTCCCAAAGACCCACTGAATCCCAGCACCTCAGAGGGACCACATAGCAAACTTTCGGGGAATTAAAGGGAAAAGTAAAATCCTCTAAGGATTAATAACCAGCCCGCTATCCATAACTCTCCACAATTCTGACCCAACCGGCTTTCCAGCTTTTTCATGTAGTCCTCCCCTTCACACAGCCTGCTGGCCAGACTGGCTACTGTACCCTCAATAATCTCTAACCTTTGCTGCCCCACTCTGGCTAACCCTGAGCCTTCCACAAATCTAAATCCCTCTCACCCCTCAGAGCACAGCTCGAATACTTCCTCCTGCCTAAAAGGTGCTACCAATCCCCCCAACGCCAGCTTCACGGAAACTTCCAGCTCTGCATGGGCACCTCTGACTCATCTCATGCTCCCTGGGATTCATGCCCCAGATTCTGAGATTCAAATCCAGGAAAGGACAAAGGAGGGAGAGAGACAGATTGAAGTCACTGTAACATAAATGCTATTTTTTTGTTTCAATTTTTAGAATCAACCTAGAGTCAAGTCACAAAGACTTAAATATGGTTACAGGAGAGATTATAAATATTAACAACCTTTACAATGTAAAATTAAAGGTACATTGAGAAGTAGAAGGTAGGGGAGAGAGGGGAAAGAAGCAGTTGGGTTAACTAAATGGGGAGTCCAGAGATACTACTTCAAGTTTGAAGGAACAAGAAATACAAGTTTTAAGTGCATTATTTAAAGGTTTGAATATATAAAATATTAACTAGCAAAGATGCCAAGCAAATGTAGAGAAGACAAAATAAAGTGGGCTAAAGTGGAGAAAGACAAGTACTAAATAATTTCACTCATCTGTGGAGTATAAGAACAAAGAAAAAACTGAAGGAACAAAACAGCAGCAGAATCACAGAACCTAAGAATGGACTAACAGTTACCAAAGGGAAAGGGACTGGGGAGGATGGGTGGGAAGAGAGGGAGAGGGGAATAAGGGGCATTACGATTAGCACACACAACGTAGGAGGGGCATGGGGAAGGCAGTATAGCACAGAGAAGACAAGTAGTGACTCTACAGCATCTTACTACGCTCATGGACAGTGACTGTAATGGGGTATGTGGTGGGGACTTGATAATGGGGGGAATCCAGTAACCACAATGTTGCTCATCTG